GCTATTAGAAGGAGTCTACATACCCAGATGGCATGGTATGAGTCAATTATGCTGGGATGATCTCTTAAAAAAATGAAGGGGTGAGAAAGAATGGGGAAGGAAGAAGCCTCAGACATTTACTAGCTGTGTGACCCTGTGCAAGTCACTTAACCCTGTTTGCCTCAATTCCTCATCTGTAAAATGAGCTGCAGAAGGAAATGGCAAAACCACTCCAGTATCTTTGCCAAGAAAACCCAAAAATAGGGTCATGAAGACTCAAACAGGACTGAACAACAACAAGAAAGAGAAATAGAGTGCCTGAGGAGGTAATAATCTCCCCTGATCAGGTCATTCCTGGAGTACAGCATTCAATCCTAAGATCCACAGGATAGACAAACTGGAGGATATCTAGAGAAAAGTGATTAGAATAGTGAAGAATTTTAGGATCATCCATAAAGAAACTGAGGTCATTTGTGGTTAAGAAGAATAAATCAAATTCTTCTGGTGCCAATCTTTTGCCCCTTGTATTTTTTAAGCTTTTCAAAAGTGGATGGGCTTTCCCTGAGGTAAAGAGATCACTTTGGGGGAGGTTATAGAGGAGATTCTTGTTCAATCATGTTTATAGTAGATGACCTCTGGGCGCTATTTCAATTTGAAGATTCTGGGGAAACGTGTGGTTTTATTATTTTTTTTAATCTTTCAATGAGGAAGAATTCCAATCAATTAAATTTTTACCAAGGAACAGAATCTTTCAATTCTTTTAATTATCCTGCATACTTGAATACTTTCATTATACATCTTCCAAAAAAGTGTGCTTTGTATGCAGAAGGAAGGATTATATGGTCTGGGAGAAACAAAGCTGATTTTAGAAGCAGTGGACCTCACTTCAAGTCTTGGTTCTATTTCTTACTATCTGTGTGAAGGTTACTTAATCTCTCCAAGTTTCAGATTTCTAATCTGCAAAATAAGGAGAATAATATATTACCTCAACAAGGTTTTTCAAGGAAAGCAAAGTGTTGTATCAATGTGATTTTAACTTTTTTTTCAGCCAAGCAGCCACTGGACAGTCTATGCCTTGACTAAACTGATCCTCACATTAACTGAATAAGAGCTATTTATAGACTGTTGCCACAGACTTGAGGTTTGCATTAAACATTGAATTTATGTACAACATTTGCCTCTTACAAATTTGCAGGGTCTGTCTACCCAGCCCTACTGACTTGGAGCCATAAAATGCTACCTCAAATATCATCGTGATATTGCCTAATCAAATGAAGAAATTCAAAAAAGTTATTCATATGGCTTTGGTCTCGATGTACAAAGGACAAAAAGCAATGAAAAGAAAGCAAGAGTTTAAAAAAAAAATGAGACAGTCCTGCCAACTACCACTTTCTTGTCTCTCCAAAGACGTATTACCCAATGTATTAAACTTGCACTGAAGGTCTGTTTATTTTGTAATTAACAAAGGATAAAAGGATCTTTTCTGGAATTTAGTTTCTAGCAACCAATTGTAGACAACCACTGTGAAATTAAGAGACAAAGACTTAAGAGTATCTGTTCACACTTACATAGTTTTATGTCTTAAAAAGTCCTTTACAGTACGATGACATTGTCAGGTTGATATTATGCTTCCCATTTTACAGATGAGGAAACTAAGGTTCAGAGAAGCTAAGTGACTTCCCTGAGGATGTACAGCTAGTAAGTGATAGACTCTGGACTCAAATCAGGTTCCACTGCACGTTGCAATGCATCACACCCACCACCTATTGTGACATGCCTGAGAAACTGGCATAGCAGTTGAGATTTGTTTCATTTCTGCCTAATGAGGATCTTCAAATAAGGTCTTCTTGTGATGTTTTTAATCTGGGGACCAACACCCCAGACTCTAAGCTTGTATTAATCCAGCCCTCCAAAATCATAACTCTTTGGCATTTGTTGTACTAAACAGAGTTGCCTATGGGAAATCTCTTAACATAGTTCCAACATGGCTTCTGTCTAGAGCTTTACAAATGTGGATGAATGCTCTTAAGGTAAAAAAGCAAATAATGGATACACAGTAGCTTTTGCTGAGATGGATAAAAGGGTCCTTAAATACCATAAATGCACTCAAAGTAACAATACAAATTATCAGGTACAGGACAGCCTTTACTCTACCCAAAAGAAAATTTAAAATACATAAACAAATACAATTCTCCTCTCTCTCTGGTGAGGCCCACCTTTTCCCAAGGTCTTAGAAGTCTCTATTTATAGCAGCATTCTATGATTTTGACTCCCCTTGGAAGAAAAATGAATTTGGGGTTGTTCAAAGACAACACTCTTCCACCCCTCCCTGTCCCACTCCCACCAATTTTCACTTCTGGGATCCCACACAAGATTCCTTATGGCAGTGAGGGAAACATGGACTCCCTTGGAAAGAAAACAAACTTGGTTCTAGTTCACTAGAGATGGAATTTTCTAATCAGACATACGCTGTTCAAATAATTGACAGTACTAGCAGAGGTAAAAGTGCAAGTCTCTCCCATAGCATTGCTCAAAATTTTCTGACACTCTTGAAGTTTCAGAGCCCATATGCGCAATCCTTTTCTCTGTCCAAGAGGCTGGGGCTCCCCAGAATAACTCTTCTCTCTATAAAAGGCTAGCTCCCTTTAGAGAGAACCCAAGGCTGATGCTCCTCAAGAGTCCCTCCTCTTTCTGGAAAACTGAATTCTAGGATTGTGCTACCCAGAAAATCCTCCATCCTCAGAGGTTGGGATTACAGAACTTCCAACACTGAGAGTATCATCGCATCATAGACTAAGAACTGCAAGCAACCTTAGAAACCATTTAGTGCAGTCGCCTCATTTTAGAGGAAACTATGATTCAGGGCTATGGTCACACTACTACTAAGTATGAAAGGCAGAAGAATCTAAACCCAGATCTTCCTGACTCCAAATCTACCACTCTACCTACTACTTCACACCATTTATTCTATTTACCATTTATTATTTATTTATTTTCCATTTATCATTTAGTCGAAGTTGCAGAATTCCAGCCACATGTTTCCCCCCTCTCCACGGCAGTCATGGAGTTGAAGGTGTGTGTGCCCTTCCCGCTGCCTCAACAGGAATAGATCTCCTTACTCAGAGTCAAGGGACTTGACTCAGGATCTCCCAATATTCCATCAAATGACTCCTGCCACTGTAATCTCTTAGTCTGAGAGCCTACCATCTGTAGGGGTGGAAGGATGATTGGTCTTTTCCAATAATGCTGTGCCATTGCACTGGTGCCCTCCAGTAACCAAAGTTCACTTGCATGCCTCTGTCTTTCACCTGTATTGGGAAAAGAGGGAAAAAAAATAAATGCACACAAAATAGGTCAGTGTGCATGTCTACAATCTTCATTGGGAAATGTCATCAAAGTCCTAGTCAAAGGTATACAACCCTGTGAATCCATCAAGTTATCAGGAACCTCTTATGATCCACCTTCTACACCTTATTCTGGTATGAAGGTGGTATTAGGTGATATCAGTAGGGAGCAAATTCTTGCAGGTTCTATCAAAGTGGGAGGACTTCAAGTACAGGTCCAGCAATGGTCTTTTCACATATGTTATCCTAGGTTCATCTTAGTTTAAGTTCTGTGAGGTTAAACATCTGGGTTGGCCAAGAGTCTCTGAGGTTTTTTGGTTATAGAAGCTCCTTAAACCACTTGCTAAAAAGAAGAAGGGGGAAATCACTGACGCAATCATGGATCCTTGAAACTGAAGAAGTGTGAGTTTAATGAAGTTTCATATTCACTAGAATTTTTCCTCCACAATTTTCATGGTGTATAAAATTTGAGGGCTTTCTGCTAGGTGTGAAAATCCTAATGCAATGGTAAATGAACGAAAATATGTATATTAGTCATCATTTCATTCCATTAACTAATTTCCACTTAACCAGTCTCCAACAAAGCAATTTAGAGAAAAAGCTTCACATTACCTTTTAGTTATTTGTCTACTGCCAGTAAAATGTCAGCTTCTTGACAGCAGGAACCCACTTCTGGTTGTGGATTTGTATCACCATGGGCTTTGCGCTGAGCCTTAAACATAGTCAGAGCTAAGTAAATGCTTGTTGGATTAGGTTGAATTTTTTGGAGTACAATCCCAACAGCATTAGCACAGGAAATAGAGAATAAAAGATTCCTCGGAACTAGAAAGGATATGAACCCTGGAAGAACAATTACCTACCTTCTCCAGAATAAATCATACACAGGCAAGTCTGCCTAGTACACTATGACTCTGCAAGTAGTTTTATTTAAGTGATCCCTCTAAGGTTGTTCCAAAGTTGGTTGCATTTTAGTGAGGGATGAAATACTTTCAAGGGATCAGAACTGGGGGAGGGAGGAATTTTTTTAAATATATTAAGAAATAGAAGTCGAGGCACAAAGGAGTGCCTACTACCACCATCCTCCCGCAAAAGGAGCCCCTTACTTAAGCTCCCTAGGCGAGGAACCACACCCATTGTGCCTCCCTGAGAGGCCTGGCCTATCTTTGAATATCTCAGACAGAAAGTACCTGTGACTTTTCTACCTGTCAGCAGATTCCACGCAAGTCACTGTAACCTAGGAGTTTTTCAGTGGAAGACCCACAAAGTTCTAAGGGACTCTGGGAGAGGGTGGATTAAAGATACCTTTTCTGCGTCCCGGAGATGTGGGGGAAGGGGGGAAGAGAATGCATGGAGAGTCACTTGGCCTTACTCTGAAAAGACCTGGGTTTGACCCAGAGGGATGGTCCCCTTCCCTCCCCGATCTGGAAAAAAATAAAAGTAATCCCCCCAGGGGCCATAGAGGCCAGACGCTGGGGCGGGCAGTCCTGGCAGCAGGGAGGCGCAAAGGAGGGAGCCGGGCTGGGGAGGTGGAGGGGCATCCGAGAGGGTGCAGGAGGACCTGGGGCCTTTCTCCCTCTTTGACTCTGTCTCTGTCCCTCCTCCAGCGGCTCACCCGGGTGCAGGGCGGGGCTCCGGGACAGCCCAGCGGGAAGCCAGGAGGGGGGAAAGCGACCGGCGCCCGCCCAGGACCAGGCTGGGTGGAAGAGAAAGGGGGAGGAAAAGGGAAGGCTGGGGCCGCAGCTCGGAGATCCGCAGCGCCCTGGAGCCAGGGCACACCAGGCAGGGAGAGCAGCAATGGGGCTGGAGACCGAGAAGGCGGACGCCCAGATCTACATGGACGAGGATTCCTACAGCCGCAACAGCGGTCCCGACTACCCGGAGCCCGAGAAATGCGTGAAGTCCATCCAGGATCGCGATCCGAGGGGCCTCAACACTCATCTGAAGGTGGCAAGCGGTGGGACTACAGGGGCAGTGGCAGGGAGATGGGGGGGAGAGGGAGGGTTGGAAAGTGAGAGGAGGAAAAAGAAAGAGAGAGCCGGGGCTTTGGCTCCTGATGAAGTTGCATAAAGTTTCAGCAGTGTCCGGGGATGGACGAGAGACTGGGAAAGTCCAGCGGGAGGAGACAAGTGGTCGCTGCCCGAGGCAGAGAAGGTGACTCTCATGGCTCTCTTACCCATTCGCCAATTTAGAAAAAGACCAAAGGAAGAACAGGCACGGGATAACTTTTGTAGCCAAACCCTGACTCCTATACTAAGATGGGGACTATGTTATGATCTTTCTGTACATCCCCAGGACTCCCCTACTCTCCCTCCCCGCCCCCAACCCCACCTTCGTGTGCCCATGTGAGGGGCTTGTAAGGGTTTAATGAGGGTGTCTCTTGTTTCCCCAGCTGGGCTTTGAGGATGTGATTGCGGAGCCGGAGTCCGCCCACAGTTTTGATAAAGTTTGGATCTGCAGCCATGCCCTCTTTGAAGTCAGCAAGTACCTGATCTACAAGGTCCTAACTGTGCTTCTGGCCATCCCGTTGGCCTTTGTGGCAGGAATTTTCTTTGCAACCCTCAGCTGCCTGCACATCTGGTGAGAACCCTTTCCGCCTCAGTGCTGTTTGCTGAAACCTTAGGGGAGTCCCTTTCCCACCTGCTCCGCCCCTCCCCCTCTTGGGCCCAACTCGGGTAAAGAGTGCAACATATTTGCTCTCATAGTATGAACTGGTAGTTTAAAAAGAACACTCTAGACTAGAATTCTGAGTCAGGATCTTAGAAGATCTTAAGTGATGTGATTTGTAGTACCAGTACTGACCTGGAAAGGGGGTGTGACAGCACCCTTTGGGTGGCGGCTGGAGGTGGAGTGGGCAGAGGCCATGCTTCCTGCCACATGCCTCTGTAGGGCAAATTTATAAAGCCATGTTGGAACTTGTAGACAGGGTTCTAGTCCTGACTTCTATCGGTAGCCTTATTTTTCCCCCACTCACCACCCAAACCTCCTCCCCACCAAAAAAAAATTTGCTCTAGAAAGACTTTGGTGACAGGAATTATACCCAGGTGTCTAAACCCAATTAAGCAATGCTTTCTGGAATAACTATGGTAAGGAGTAGATGGGCCTAGTAAGAAGAGAAACTTTGTCAGACAAGGGACACATCCATCATGACAACAAATGACTCAAGCTCTGGTAAAATGAAAGTCTCTCCTCTCAATCCCTCCTTCAGTACTTTTCAACTATAATACGTCAAAAGGAGAAAAGACTGGGTAAGAAAGAAAAGAACATGGTGGTCCATTGGACATGAGTAGAGTGAGGGGATACCCTTATTCACATTCATATTATTTCTGTATCACAAAATCAGATTTGTTTGTTGTTGGGTTTTTTTTTTAATCTCATTTAAAAGAAACTAACCAGCAAGAGGGGGAAATGTATTTTACCGAGAGGGAAAATATTTCTAAGCATCTACTTTGTGCTGAGGGAAAATAATTACAAGAGATTCTGTCTCTGTATTTCAAACGATAGCAGAAAAGGTCTGATGTATGAAGGGCTTTTTTTTTTTCAGAACAACCCTGTGAGGTTAGAAGTGATTGATTGTCTAACACTGGCAGCAAGAAAATGTAACCTAAGCAGGAACCCTTCCATCTGAAGTGGTCTGGTCTCATCAACATATTTACCTACTAAGTATGATCTCATCAGAAAACAGTTGCTCCTTTACACTTTGCTTTTTAAATATAGTACCACTATGCTTGTTTTTCACTCTTTTAGCAAAACAGGTGATGAATGTTAAACATGTTAGAACCCACCCCACTGCATCTCTGTGTGATGATATAAGTTGTTTGAAGCTAAGAAGTGGAAAACCTCAGATGGAAACTGAAGTGTGGTCTTTCAGGTTGAGGTTCCATGGATATTCATAATACTGTGCTTGCCTCAATAGCAAGAGAATTTCCAAACACCTTTATAAGATATTAACACCATGAATAGAGAATTGTTTTGAGACGTTCTCTGTGCTTTTTGTCAAGTTACATAGTACTGCGTACTACTACAGTGTGCTCAAGGTTCAGGGGCACAGAATACCATAAGCAGTTTCTAAAGTATTATAACTAGACACAATGTCAGCCTGTCTCCTTCCTTCCCTTCCCTTCATAATTTGAATTTTAATGGTCTGTAAAGAACACTGATTCATTTGGCCGACTAGGGTTTTTTTTTAGGGAATTTAGCTTTGTAGGACTCCAAAGTCACTATGGAGATGAAAAACTAATCTTGTATGAAGGAATGGATTCAGAAAAACATATGAATTTTCCTGGTTATCAAGGAAAGACATACCTGGTGGAAACATTTTGGAAGTCTGATATTAGCTCACAAATTTATTTGCTCAGCTAAAATACTATGGAAAGACAGAAACATTCACCAAAGTCAACCCAGAATAAAAATTATGTCTATAACTTGGGGTATAATTTTATGCTACTCCTTTAACCTCTTTGTCAGTTAATCCCTCCTATAAAATGTGAATAATAATAAAATTACTACACAGTCTACCATGAAATATTACTTTATGGAGCATTTTGCAAATATAAATTTCAGAAATTATTTAACAATGAAGAGAAGCTTTGTACAAAGCTTTTGTGGCAGAGATGAAATAAGTTAAATGGTGGAAAGTTGTAAATAAAAATGTAATTAGCCAAATGATGCTTCTTTACACCTGGTTAGCCAGCAAAAGGGATTATTGTTTCATTCATGAGTCATCCTACCAGTTTTTAGCCATGTAATATGTATTATTTAAATAGTCTGTTTTTTAAATTGTGGGCATATGAGGCATTAATATTTAATTCTGCCATACATCTGTCATCAGGTAGCTGTGATTGAAAGTAAAGGGAGTAATTTCAAAAAATTGTTTAAAGGTTAGTTCACACTCAGAAAAAAATGGCTTCATTATTAATGACTTACATTACCATCACACAATCCCTATCAGTCCTCCAGTATCTGAAGCTAGACTAAGGAAGACCCTGGTAAAGAAAACAAATATAGAAATATTTCAGTTAGTTTACCAAGAGAATGGTACTTACAGGCTGGGATGATAATGGAACCTAGAGCCAAGACACAACTAACCTGACTTTTAAAAAAAGATTTTCCTTTTATATGTTTAAAATTGTGCCTATGAGGCCAAGGTCAAAAGCACAGTTCATTCTTACCTAGGCCAGTTAACTTTTCTTAATAATATGCCACAGAATAAACTCAGGCAATCCACCTTGCAAGTGCATGTCATTGGCCATAAGGAAACTAAAATTTCTCAGAGGATGGCTAGATTATTGAAAATTCATCACTACTTCTGGTCAACTCAAATCTATACTATTAATAGTCACATAGCAACATCATCTTCATGTCTAGACAAGAACACATTATCCATTCTAAGTCTAGTACTTGTTTGGCTAAAATGGTTGCCAAAATTAATGAGCTTGAACAGAGCTTTTGGTGAGCTCTAGTTGATTTGGCTACTTTGAGGGAAACCATTTGGGGGGCTGAGTATTAAATTTAGTTTGAAATTTGGGAAAGATTGAAACTGTGACATTCAAAATCAGAAAATGTTAGCTTTCCCAAAATAAAACAGTACATATGCACCCTATAAACAAAAGCCCTCAGGTAAAATATGCTCTGTATTGATGAACTTGAAAACTAAAATGTGTTGTGTGACCCTAACTTCCGTGTAGTTTGGTGGAAAGATATATGCTATGGGCAGAGGTAGGTCCCTAGACAACAGGGAAGTGTGAAGCTCATACTATACAATTTAATTGTGATGCTGATTGATCTGTCTTATAGGCTGCCAGTTTGAAGTTGTTAATGTATCATTTTTCACTATTGATTGAGAAATCAACAACTATTTCTTGAGTGCTTACCATATGACAAGTCAAATCAACTAGCATTGTGCCAGTCACTATACTGGATATACAAATAAAGGCAACAACAATTCCTACCCTCAAGGAGCCTGCATTGTAGTGGGGAGACAACATGTAAATAGTTGTACATAGAAAATATGTACAAAGCAGATATAAGGTGACCTTAAAGGGGAAGGTCTGGAATCTTGAGGAACTACGTAAGTCCTCCAGCAAAAAGACAGCATTGAATTGAGAAATAGGCTTAATTTTTGTGAATGATGAAAATAGCATCTATTAACACTATTTTATATATATATTCTACGTAACACTATTCATGATAACCAGGTCTGTGTTGGTGTTTCCCATTCACATTTTAATGCTTAAGTGATTTGCCCAAGGTCACACAATACGTGAATAATGTATAGGGATCAGACATCAAGAGTTCCCAACATAAGTCTTTTATTCATACTTATTCATACTGCATAGTACTGACATTACCCTGTAATTAATTGTCCCATGTAATTGCTTAAAGTGTTTACTACTTTGGTCCATTGCAAGTTGAATTTGAGTTGTATAGATAGGCAAACTGAGTGGCTCATATCAAAAGATAAAATATATGAATTCTTTGGAAAACTGTCAGTTTTTCATGTAGCTTATGCCATATAGAACTTGCTAAAGATTTACCAAGATCCACCTCACTCTCCTTTGCAATGGAATAAGCCTTGCATTTAATATTATCACGTTTAGTATTACCATTATAGCCCACAGTTACAGCCATCATGCATATGGCAACACAACAAGGAGTTCAGAAACACCTATGTGCTCAAGGAGTAAGGCAACCAAAATGAAGGCTAATTAAGAGCTTATTTTAAATGTTGTCCAAAGTGGGAAAAATAAGTAATTGCAGTCATACTGGAAAAAATGAACAGCATATAATAAGATTAGTTAAAGCATAACCTAGTTTTTCAGGTACATAATAATACTAGAGTAATGCTTAACATTTATGTAATGCGTAAGATATATTTAGGGATTAATATTTTAAGCTATTTTAAATGATTGCTTTACACATTTCTTCAAGGTAGGTCAGTATAATAGTAATAATAATTATTATTATTACATATGCAAAATGGAGTAATACCTAATGTCAAGATAGTACACTCAATTCAACAAACATTTATTGAACACTTAATAATGAAAGACACCTTGCTGGATTTTATTTGCTGTAAATCCTTTAGTCTTGTAGCAATTTGGTTTTTTTTCCTTTTTCTGTACTCTACATACAGTTAAATAAGGAATAAAAACATTCACATTTATCTAGGGAAGACATTCATATACTTTATTATGATAATTGCCTGTTCAGTTAGGATTTATCAAGTACCAGCAAAATGTAAGACACTGCATGACGCTGGCAGTGCAAAGGCAAAGTACATTTTATGTAGTTTATCTTCTTGTTTCTAAAGAAAGAGATAGAATTTTATTTTTTTCAAGTCATTGTTTTATTTTGAGTTTCAAATTCTCTTCTATTCTCTGGGATTCCCTCACCCATTGAGAAGGTAAGCAGTAGGGCACCCATTATAATTGAAGTCATGCAAAATATATTTCCTTATTAGCCATGTTGTGGGGGGAAAAGCAGGAAAAATAAAGAAAGTGAAAAATATGCTTCAATCTGAACTCAGAGTTCATCAGTCTCTCTTTGGAGGTGGATGGCATTTTTCATCATGAGTACTTTAGAATTGTTGTGGATCATTGTTTTAATCCAAGTAGCTAAGTCTTTTAACAGTTTATCGTTATTACAATATCACTATTACTGTATATAATGTTTCCCTAGTTCTGCTGTCTTCACTTTGTAGCAGTTCAAATGAGTCTTCCCAGATTTTTCTGAACCCATCCCCCTACTCATTTCTTATAACACAATAGTATTCCATCACAATCCTATATATCACAGCTTGTTAGAGTTTTAGAAAATGAATCTTTTTTTAAGTTCTGCTGGCTTCAGTGATTATGTCTTATAGACATATAAGCCAAATTTTGAGAAATGGAATTAGCACCTCTCACAGCTAATTATGTTATATCAAGCTTGTGTGTGGTCATATTTGCAGGGTAGTTGGAAGATGGTGTTTTCTGGAGACAGGGAGCAATGAGCTACATTATTAAGGGGTAACAATATTTTTCACAGTCACTCTTGATTCATTATTATCATGAAGGTCATTAACAAACATACTTTAGATAGAATCTGATATTTGAACTTTTACATTTAAAATTTTTTAGTGAACATTTGTATTGCTTTGTGTTAGAGAGCTAAACCAAATTGCCAATTAAAAATGTAGATGGCTAAAATCATGGCCATATTTAGCTGCTTTGGAAGATACGTCCATAAAACCAGAGGGAAGTTTTCTTGCATTAGTTCTTTAAAAGTTTAGCGCTGAAGTTAGGATACCCAACATACTTGGATAGATCCAGGAGTTCATAGGTTCAGTATGCTTACTCTTCCCAATATAGATCAAAATCTTTTTACACTTTCCCATCTTTCTTTCCTATGTTTTTCCATAAATCCTTCATAGAATATCTACACAATGCATTGGAAGTCTTGCTTCCCGAATCTTAAAATCTCAAGGGCACCAAGGTACCACCTGAGTGGTCTCTCTGTTGCCTCTCATTCTTACTAAATGACCAGCCCATTTCCTTTTCTCACCACTTATCTCCTCCGTGATACTTCTGTCATATACATATACATTTGTAATATACATATTAGATAACTAGTAATATGCTGTGTACTCGCCAACTGGCTTTCCATTGGCCTTTGAGTAATTCATACTTTTGATGCTTATAAGATCATGGCATTCTATGATTCAGGACCATATGGCATCACCAGAGGCATATTGGTGTTAAGAGAGTGGGCTTTTGTGATAATAAACAGTTTAGGATCATTTAAAGAGCTACACCATTTCCCAAATGTTATCCATTCTAATTTCCTTCCACTACTTTATCCTGGAGCCAATTCATTGTCTATCTGTAGCTTCTGTTCAAAATAGAAATACCTGTATAAATGGAACAACTCAATAGGCTACCCATTCAGTTGTATGATATAATGTAGGCAATATGTAGTTTTCCTTCTTTTATGTTCTTGAGTATAATTTAGTAAATGTCCTTACTATTTAAAAAGTAAAATATTTGAAAGCTAACCTACTTTGTGGGTATTTTGTTGTTATTACACATATAGATATAGCTATAGCTATAGATATGGATATATAGATATACATAGATTTTTACAAAGATATAACTATTAAAGGGACAAATTTATCATTCTTTTTTAAACCTACAGTGAAGATTTATATGAATTCTTATCTGTTTTGTGAATGTATAATAATCAGTGGGTATATTTGGTAACCTATTTCACACTAATATATCCTAAACTATTTGCTTACATTCTAGGTTTGTGGTGCCTTTTATAAAGACCTGTTTAATGGTCCTGCCATCAGTGCAGACAGTATGGAAGAGCATTACAGATGTTCTCATTGCTCCCGTGTGTAAAAGCATGGGACTCATCTTTTCTTCAGTCAGCCTGAGACTAGGTCCTGAATGAATGATATGGACCCTGCTGCTGGAAACCAAATATACTGCAATACTTTAGGTTGCTATAACATAGGAGCACTACTGTTCATTTCCAAACTGTTCTATTTAAGATGATTGTTTATTTTTTAAAGGGGAACAAATGTATTTGGGACTTTAAAAATTGAAATTAATTTCTTCCTGGGTAATAGTTTCACAATTTATTAGCCATGTAATTCATATCCAGCATTTTATACGAGAGTTATACAAATGGTTGGAAACATCTACTTTTAATGGAATACAATTTTTATTTTAGGACAGAAGTTTACATTTTGTTGCAATCATTAATTTGAACTATGAGCAGTATAGTTGAAATATTTAGGTATATATTTCTCAAAAAGTCATGGCAGTCAGAGAGCACTATAAAATTATAATGTAGAAACTACAGAAGCACAAGCAGGTAGTGATGTATACTACAATAACACAAGAACATGTAAATGTGAAAAACAGATCCATGAAAAGGATGAGAGGGAGCATGGTATGGTGGAGTGGAATGTGCACTTCAAGTAGACCCGAGTTCAAAGTTGCCTCTGCTGTTTGCTACTCAAATAACTTTGGGCAAGTCACTGACCCTCTCTGAGCCTCAGCTTCCTCATCTAAAAATGAGAATTGAATCAGATGATCTCTAATGCCTCTTTAAGCTGTCATATGATCCTGTAATTACATCCCTTAAAATAAATTGTTACCTAATTTGGGGGGATTATTCTTTAACCTGCTGCCCTATTTAAGAAGAGGTTCTATTTTGTTGTATATTTTGTACTTAATGTAAATGTTGCTCTATCAGTTTTCCATAAAGCACTTTGATTGTTATTTGTAATCTTATAGAGTTATTAACCGAATGGAGTCATCCATATGTGAATCACAAAAATAAAGAAAGAAATTTAGATGAGGGAGATTGCACTGAAATGATTATATAAAGCATATATTTTTCTTTAAGAATTTAATGTAAAAGGTTAGCATAAAATGCTTTCTTATTGGACAATGTAGGGGAAAAAACCTGAAATATGTTTTGTGAGTAATGCTTATAGTAAATACAGATCACAATAAAACCTACCTAATCATTACAAGTCATGATATAATATTTAAAATAATCTATGCCCAAATGATACTTTCTTTCTTGTATTCAGTCACTACAAAAGAGCATTATCTCTTGATTTCAGACACTAAACTTACATTTGACATTCCTATTCCCTATTCATTTTTCCTTTAAGTGACTATGGTGCTGTTTCAAATACTTTGTATTTTGCTGTATAAATTTACCATAAAAAAGCAATTTCTACTGCACTTAACTATTGCTGCATTTCTTCTTTGACCAGAGTGACACATATACACAGTAGTATATGAGGGTTGTGTGGATTATCTACTGAGGCATGTACTGCTGAGTTTCATATGCAGATAAGCAAGTAAAAACAATGAGTATTTTGTTATATGTAATGCAAAATGGAACAAGGAACCATTTGATAGCCCAGTAAACAGAGTGCTGAGTCTGGAGTCAGGAAGACCTGAGTTCAAATCTAGCCTTTGACACATACTCGCTATGTGATTTTGGGCAGGTTACTCTGCCTCAGTTTCCTCAAATGGGGATAATAACAGCATCTACCTTGCAGAGTTGTTGCGAGGATCAAATGAGATAATTTTTGTAAAGTGCCTAGCACAGTGTCTGGCACATAGCTGGCGCTATATAAATGCTTATTCCCTTCTCCCTTATTACCTGAGAACTAGGCAGATCAACTTTAATGCTAAAGTTTGGAGGGGAAATACTTTCATTCCAAAATGACAGGAATATTGAAGGCATATGTAATGTGACTGATTTTCTCATTAAATGCAAAAAAACCCAGAACCTATGTAAGGAAGGCGCTACAGTCCAGAGTCTCTTCTTTAGGACAGTAGCCTTGACTCTTCTCACATTAAGGCTCTGTAGGGTGTCCCAGAAATTTTAGTGCAGTTTTCAACTTTAATGGCTTAAAACTGCACTAAGACTTCTGGAATGCCTTGTATTTTTCTTGTTCTTTTCTAAGGTGAGGCAACATAATGTGATAGAGAGCTGGCCTTGAAGTCAGGAAGACCCAAGTTCCAGTGTTACCTATGACAGAGATCTGGATGTGTGCTCTTAGGGAAGTTATGTAACCTCTGTTTCTTGAAAAACTCTCTAAGACTTTTAAGTTGCAGGAGAGTTGCCGATCTATATTAGTCAAGAGGGTGTTTCCATATTGGAGAACTCCTTACACTAATGGAATCACAGACAGAGACAATTTTTTAAATATACCAAATAGTGACAAAAATCTTTATCCTTCAAGGGTCATTTTGGCTTTTGCAGGCAATCAGAATAGTTTGGAGCCATATTTACTAAATATAGCTGACCAGTACCATTTGGGGTTAAAAGCAGATGGTAATTATAAAGAGGAAACACTGCATTTATTATGTGGTTCTTAAACTGACTTTTAAAGGCAACTCTAGATAGGTTGTATAGTAGATAAAGCCTTGGTCTTGTAGTGAGGAAAAATTGAGTTCAAATTATGAACACAAATTCAAATTAAAAACAGAAATGACGTTCAGGCTGACCTGGGCAAGCCACTTACCTTATTTTAGCCTTTGCTTCCACATCTGTAAAATGTAGAGATTGGACTCAGTGAACTCTAAAATCTCTTCCAGTTTTACATTTGTGATCTCTGATTCAGAAGAGATCTAAAAATATATTGGATAATGTCTTCAAAGTCAATGCACACACACATAAACATTCTCATATTTTTTTAAGTCTTTTCACTTTATAATCACAACTGAAAATGCCTCAGAGTTTGTTTGGAAATCCTAAATAATCTAATTGGAAACAAGTAAATATATTCATATTTGCCTTGCTGAGATATTTAACTTATTAGTATAAATCATGATGCTTCTCTATTCTTTCAGATAGTTATTTGGCAAATTTCTTTTTTTTAACTAATCACCACAGTAGGGATTTGTAATAGAATTACATTTGGACACCCTGACTAACAGAATCTAATTATCAAATGGAATAGCACAATTCTTCTTTCTAACAGCATTAATTACTTCCAAAGTATAGTATATTGGAGTTTTTTGTTAAGTACTGTATTTTATGGAAATGAGGTGGATTTTTTTTAATGTGAGTCAAGGCAACTATGCTGTCCATAATAAACTTTTTAAAACTCAAAAACTGTGTTGAGTAATTTTGTTGGTGTTAGTAGTCAGTTTATCAACAGAAAATTTTTTGATTGAAAATAACACGAAAGTAGGAAAATATATGTATATGCACAGATATAGTAGATAATTTTGGAGCTGTTACTTTTCAAATAGAAAGGCATTAGCATTGAATTCAGTTTCCCAATACTTAGAATATATTTGGTATGTATACATGTGCAGCCACTAAATAAATTTTTTTTATTTCTTTGGATGCTTATTCAAAAATTCACCCACAGTTCAACTACCTTCATGAAGTAAACATTCTATTCTGTGACTGATGGTTTCTTGAAAAGAGTTAAGGGAGAAAATGGTTAGCCATGTGTTTGGGCTCCTGGCCCTTGGCATTGGACAGAATACAATCCAAAAACTTCCTTTATAGCCTTGTAAACAGTATTCTTTGGTAGTGGCACAGTAGTGTTAAACAAGCTGAGAAAATCACCATTTAGATAAATTACCTTTCTAAAAAGAAAGCTTATACCCATACAATAATTTTGGACAATTCAACTCTATACATAAAAAAAAAGGAATTTCATCAAGTTGGTCATGTTATCAGATAGCTACAACTGTTACTTCACAAATTTTAGTCTGTTCTTTTTTAAAGTAATTAAGATGAATTTAATTTTGAGAATTTTATAACATTTTTTAAAATGATTAGAGATGCCTTGGAATGTTGTAAAAATGGAATTGGAAAGTTAATTATACTTTATCTTCTCGATGTGGTAGATCAATTTGATATATTCAATAGATATTCTAAATTGAAATAATATTATTTCCTTCTTCATTGCCTTCTTTTCCAAGACTTGGAAAGTCAGAATGACTTGGAAATTGGCTTGGAAAGCAGAATGACCCTGGGCAAGTGGCTTAACTTCCTCATCTATAAATTAGGAGTTTGTAACTGATGACCTCTAATGTCTCTTTCAACACCGAATCTATGATCCTGTGAAAGGAAAATGTGGCAATGGCATAATCAATCTTAAAACTGTTTCTTAAATCTATTTTTAAAAGTGTTCAATGAGGGAATACCTAACACTCCTAAGAAGCGTCCTCGATTAAACATGCTTATAAGTACACTAAGAAATTATTTCTCAAACTCTTTTTTGCTTTTGCACTCCCAGTATTAATGTCATTGAGAATTCCCACATTTAACTGCTAGCTTTTTAGTTTTTACAATTCTTCAGCAAACTAGAAAAAATTATAAAGATAATAAGAGTCCAGAGAACATTTATCACATTAGTTCCTGTATATATAACTTTGTGAAAGAAATAAAAAATCAGTCAATGTGCTCACAGTGAGAAGTCCACCATTTTTTAAGTGATTTTCTCTTTCATGTGGCGACAAAACTATAGCCATCGAACACCACTAGGTCAGAGTCCTGTCATTCATCACATCTGCCCAACACGGAGCACAGTGCTCTATCATAGCATGTCCCTAATAAATCTTCACTGCATTGAACCTAAATCAAATGATACCTGAGTCATTTTTCAGAAAAAAAATTACTTCCTTAATCCCACTGATGTATTGTTTCCATCCACACTACTATTTCTATACTGGACTGATGTTGACCTTTGTGTAGATTGCATAGGAAAGGTTAAAGACTGGAGCTGTGATTTCATTGCCATAGAAAATTACACCTACCAATGTAGGCTAGTTCTTTGTTTGTAATTTATAGAATTAGTTCCCTAGAGCACAGAGAGATGAAGCTACTTGCTTACAGTCACATACTGGCATGTGTCAGAATCAAAACTTGAATCCAGGGCTCCCTAACTTTGAAGCAAGCTCTCTATCCACAATACCACACTACCTTCTCTCTATAGATTAGACAGTTGCCTATAGGATGTAATTTTAATTGCCCCAAGAAAGCCCTGATACCCACCTCTGCTCCCCTCACTATCACCCCAAATCTTCCCATAGCATAAAATTCTACTTTGAGAATTTCATTATTTTTTAACAAAACAGTGAGGTTGGGGGAAGGCAGGGAGAACTATATCACAATAGCTTAAATCTATACAGTAGTTTATACTTTTTAAAGTGCTTTATATCGCAACTATGAGGGACTGTGTACTTTTTCACAGTGCTTTCACATACGTTATCCCATTTGATCTCGAAAAACAATTCTGTGAGGTAGAGAGACAGGGTAGATATTACTTACTATGCTCTATAGATGAGTGCTTTTCCTGAATAAAGTTGCTAAAGATAATCTTTACCAAAAAAAGTTTACAAAAATGTAAACACAGTAGAGGTGGAAGAAATTGGAAGGAGCTGGAGGAAGGCTGACCTCTCCTTTATACTCAAAAGGGCACATTGTTTAAGTCTTCTTGAGTGGAAAGTGAAGAAATAAGTATATTGTGTGTAGCAACCACTGCTGTAGCTAGGGTGGGGCCATGGACCTTTGTCACGGTGTTGAAAATTTAGAGGGAGCTGAAAGCACCATTTGGATCATAGGCATACTTTCACCCCTACCTGGTTCTATCCCTATAGAAGCAAAAGGGTGGTAGAATGCTGATCTTAGGGGTACCTCCTTCCCCTTCAACTAGTTTAGAAACTTCAAGATAGAGGCCATAGTTCTCCCCAGCAGCTACATTCTGGGTAACCTCACTCCTCCTCATAGAGGCAGTTGGTGGCAGGGTAGATAGAGCACTGGGCCTGGGGTCAAGAAGACCCAAGTTTAAATCCAGCCTCAGACACCTACTATCTGTATGACCCTAGGCAAGTCACTTAACCTCTGTTTGCCTTAGTTTCCTCAGCTGTGAAATCCTCATAACAATAGTGCCTACCTAACCAGAGTGTTGTGAGGATCAGATGAGATCAACTTGCATGACAGGGCAAAAAAAAAATGCTATTTAAAGATACGGTAGCAACAGAAGCAAGACCAGGTATCAAACCAAACTACAGCCTGCCAGTCTGGCTTCGCTGTACATGTTACCAAAGTGACTATCTGTGGTGTTGACTGTTACAACCAGGCTTTGGTAAACAAAGAAGCCTATGCAGCAGTCAGAGGAAAATCAGATTGCATTTAAAGGATTCTCTAAAAATAGCCTAGGGACACCTATCTGTGTTTTGCACAGCTCTTGGCCTTATGTTATATCACTTA